GTAGTGGCACTTAAATTTTTTATGACCGGGTAATTTTATTTGATCGGGCGCCAAATAGCGTAATTGAAGTTTTTAAATTACGCGCAACCGATTTCACGGCAGAAATGAGACTGAATTTAATAATTGAAATATTAAATTAATATAACTTGAATTTAGTTGCAGAAGGCAACAACAACTTGCCTTCTCCTATTGTTCTAGACGCTGACATCAGCACTTGGCATTTTACCGGATGCGCGTGCAGTTGCTTGGTATTAATAATTTAGCTGTTGCGCTAATTCTTTGAATTAGTGCAACTTCGATTGCAAAACAGGAAAAGTGAAATAATATTAGTCAGCAATTAAAATTTCACCTGTGGGAATTTTTATTGCGGAGTAAGAATGTAAATATGTAATTTGTTATATTGCAGCGAAAACAAAAGGTAAGCAAGTTATTGGGGCGATTGCCGAAAATATGTAAGTATGTAATGTTATAGCTAAGGCAAAATGAATTAAGTGTTAACTTATATATATACGCTCATATATACAACACACATACGCACTTCCACATGCACATACATATGTTCGTACATACATACCAATATATATGGACATACATATCTACTTACATACATACGTACTTGCATACGCACACATATAGGCATACATAGGCATTGTGCATATCGACGCTCATATGGTCGTACATGCATGCACATAGTGATACGTACATACCTACGTGTACATTCGAAAAACTTCTACAACACAGTTTCCCATAGAAAAACACCCACTGTAACAAGCCGTAGAAACAAAACCGTACTTTCCCCAGCATGTTTACATTACTATTCCCGCAAATTGTTTGTTGACAATATCTAGCTCAAAGACCAAAACACAAAGGAAACAACTATGGATAACAACAAAAAAAATTATCCTTTCTCTGCAATTTTTTTTGTAATATTAAAGTAAACGCTGCATTATGTACTATTGAAGTAAAAGTGGGCTTTGAGAAATAATTAAGTGAGGCGCGAAATATAACTTAGAAAACACTGAATGAAAATTCTTTATTTATGCAGAGGAAATAAACGTGATGAATTAAGGATAAAACCGTTCTTTAATGGAGTAGAGCTCAAACACCAAGTTGAAATCAACTGATTAAAACATAAATTTCTGGAAAGTGCTTGTTAAAAACTATGGAGTCAAAGAGCAGCCTTATAGAACGACATACATATACATATACAATCAAATTCCATTGACAACATTACAATGTCTGTTCAGTTAAACATGGATCTTCCACTAATCATAACGCCTATAATACCTGCCTTAAAGGATTTATCCGTGTCGGCTATACCTTCAACAAATACCGATCAGTTTCCGCCACCACCTGATTTAACGTTTCATTGTATGTGCTGTCCTGCATTCTTTGTTAATCCTTATATACTTTATCGACACATGAACAGCCAACATCCCCAACCACTAGAATCCAAAGAAGAGGATAAATCCGCATCTGAAGATGACGATCAAGATTACAGTTGGGTACTTGAGCCTGTTTGCGGGATAGTTGATATGGGTGGCGATGACGACGATGATTCAGATAGTGATTCGGATTCGGATGATGATACCTCCAGCAACTCGTTTCAAAGCTCAAGCGATAGTTCGTCCACTGCCGCGTCTAATTCAAATTCTCCTACCATAAACCCTCAATCGAACAATTGTAATAGCCAAGATGAAAAGGAAAACACAAGAATGACCACAGTAAGCATTAATACAGTGCCAACAGCCGTTTATGAATAGGTGGTTGGGGATGATTCATACAGCTCTTTAAGTTCTACTACTGACTCTGATTTTCCAATGATCAAATTAATACTAATTAATTCTAAGGCGGCAGATGTTGATAACGCGATGCAAACTCCGCCAGTTCATAGGAATAACGTGCCGGTAGTGTACAAGCCAGGCAGAGGTAGACGTTACGCTGCACAGAATGCACAACTGTCTGCCTTAACAAGTGGAGAACATAAATGCTTTCAATGCTCCTACTGTGGCGCCTCTTTTCAAAACGCTGGCGACCTCTCCAAGCACGTGCACTGCCACATTACTAACAAGCCTTTTCAATGTGCTATCCGACAATTTGTTTGTATTGAATTTATTTTATCCTATATGTATATGCACATATGTATGTGTGATGTACATATGTATAAAACATACGAACATAATTTTTTTGAATTCTGGTTGAAATACATACAATTTGCTTAAGATTAATATTTAGTTAAATTACCTATATAATAAACAATTTAAATTCTTTAATCAAAGTCTGAAAAGACATTTACGCACATCGGCAGTTTGAATACTCACATTAGGATACACAGTGGGAAGAAGCCATGTAAATACGAACTGTGCCCAAAGGCTTTTACGCAGTCTAGTAGCCTTATATACTCCAGCTCTCTAGTGTTACATTTAAAATCGCATGATGATGCTGAAATTTTTAACTGTCCCGAATGCGACAAATCGTTTAAACAAGAAGGCTTACTCGAGAAACATCTACAAATGCACACTCAACAGCTTGTTCATCAATGTTCCATTTGTCGTGAAGCGTTTCGCACATCCTCTGAGCAGGTACAACATATAAAGTTCCATATGGGTGACAAGCTTCACTTGTTCAATTTGTGATCGTTCTTTTACGCAATCTGGCCGTCTTGGCATATACACATGCGCATTCATACTGGCGAGCGGCCGCTCCAATGCAAATTCTGTGACAAAGCTTTTACGCAGGCATCGAGCTTAAGTGTTCACATGAAAATTCATACGGGTGAAAAATCGTTCCCATGCCATATATGCGGCAAATCTTATAGCCAACAAGCATATTTAAACAAACACATACAGGCTCATCTTAATACTGAAAAAAATAATACGGCATCAAATGAGATCAACGGGATGCCTAGTATAGCAACTGATACGTTGCCTTCGCAAGAAACATTGGTTTGTATAGTGTGTGGAGCACTGCATAAGAGCGTGAGCTTATTAGCTTTACATGTAACTCAAAAGCACTCTGTATTGCTTAATAATAGCATAGGCGGTGCTTCACAAATGCAAATTCCTTCAGATAATGTGAGCGAAGAAGAACGTCGTGTGCAAGAGCTGCAATATATGCATCAACTGCAATTGATGTTACGCTCCGCCAATAGCGGATTATTGCCACAGATGGCCATGGATGTAGACATTAAGGAAGGAGATGTTGAAGCAAATGTCAACGATGAGAAATATGTTAGTATTAAAACGAATGAAGAATTTGAAAATAATCGACATATGGAGTGTTTGGAAATAATTAAGCAGGAATTCGATCCAGATGCTTTCGACGATTATGGCGCTGAGGAAGAAGTAGAAACGGAAGAATAAACCCATAAACTTCGTGCAAAAAAATATATTTATAAGGCAAACTACCGTCTGAGTACCAGTATAATAGACCTGTTTGATGCAATTTTACTTTTATGTTGAACATGCTATACTGCAAAAATATTTTGAGCAGTATGCCAGTTCTAATGCATATATATGTATAGATTTGATGACATTTTTTACCTGTAGCAATTCAGTATTGTTTGTATATTTTTTTTTTTTCATTTTTTGCTTAAAAGCTAAACACATTAAGGTAAACGTTTGCTTAAAAGAAAGATGAATAGTTTTATTACAATTTTTAAATAAAACTGCCTAGATAAACCTATATTTTAAAGAGTAGAATTAATTGTAGAAAGGATTGTAAGTGACCCAATGTGCGCGAGATTGTTCTTTCTCACTTTTGTGTGTGGTAAACAAGGATTTGAAAACATCACTTGCTTTGGGATCTTTTGCAACACTGTAGTTGTTTTTTAAGCGTTTCAATTCTGGATCTTCCAAAGCGTCTTCAGCCGCAGACGACCGCTTCATGTTAGCAACTAATTTCATTTTTTGCTCACCAGCAGCGGCTTTGCTGGTGGAGGGTGCTTCTGGTGCTGGTTTTTCTTTCTTTTCTACACTCTCCTTTACAACGGAATTATCGCAAACTATTTCTTCTTTTATAGCAACAATATTTGATTTCTGCTTTGCAGAACTACCAATATTTGCAGTTGTTTGAGTCTTTTCTTCTTTTTTAAGCTTTTTAACTGCCTTCCGTTTTGTATTTCGCATTTCCATTTTTGCTTGCATCAATTCTAATTCTTCTTCGCTAGCGTTAAGCACCACTACATCCTCAATGGCAAAGGGCGTTAAGCAACATACA